TAGAATTGTTAAAAATAACGCTTGGATCCTATCTTAATTAATGCTCAAAGTTAGAAAAAAAATAAGATTTTACAAAGCCATATTATAAAGCCATTTCCAACAATGCCCCACATGAATGGAATTCATGAAAACAGATATGCAACAAAATGCAGACAAAGAAAGAGTACATTAAGAAGATACACCACATCCAGATTGGTAGCTTTTGGCTTTGAACCTCATTTAGTGAAAGCCTATTGGACTTACTGGCTAACCAGTAAACACAATGTCTTGAACTATTCAGCAATTTGTGTAAGCCAAGACAATAAACTACACATAGTGTATCCGTATACACAGTTTGGTTCTTACGGTTGTGTTCATTTTGACCCTGAATAATACCTGGTAATTCATGAGTGCTCTAGAGAATTTAGCCTTCTCAATTCTCACAAAACCGACCCAGTTCACAATTCAAAAATAAATAAATAAATAAAATACAAGTGTTTTTGGCCCAAAAAGATAAATATTGGGTCAGACAAGCCTAATCCAACCTCCCACTACTCACTCACGCCTAGCTCGACCGAACGGACGGCGGTGGGGCTCGCATGTGTTTTGTTTTGGGTCTAATGGATCTAACCCAATTTACCCATCCACAAAACTTGAGTACCCTTTGAGGCCCATCCCAAGTATGGCAAGTTGGAGTTTATATACCCATATAAATTCTTAAGCCTTTCCAATGTGGGGTAAGCACATTTCACAAATGTGTTGGAAACCCATATAAAGCCATTTTCACGAACTCGAAAATGCGCGTTGAATTCTCATTTATCTGGAAATGGTTTTGAGCAACCAAATACGTGATGTTATTCACTACGCGACATTAAATATGAACCCAATTAGAATTGTTAAAAATAACGCTTGGATCCTATCTTAATTAATGCTCAAAGTTAGAAAAAAAATAAGATTTTACAAAGCCATATTATAAAGCCATTTCCAACAATGCCCCACATGAATGGAATTCATGAAAACAGATATGCAACAAAATGCAGACAAAGAAAGAGTACATTAAGAAGATACACCACATCCAGATTGGTAGCTTTTGGCTTTGAACCTCATTTAGTGAAAGCCTATTGGACTTACTGGCTAACCAGTAAACACAATGTCTTGAACTATTCAGCAATTTGTGTAAGCCAAGACAATAAACTACACATAGTGTATCCGTATACACAGTTTGGTTCTTACGGTTGTGTTCATTTTGACCCTGAATAATACCTGGTAATTCATGAGTGCTCTAGAGAATTTAGCCTTCTCAATTCTTACAAAACTGACCCAGTTCACACTCATATAGGTGATTTTTTATTAAGAGTATCTTGCCATACCCCACTTGGATGTCCAAGCTATAAAAATCATTAAAAACAAAGCTGATTTTACTAACGCGGCAGGTATCACTCTTCTTATCATAGAAATGGGTAGGAGTAAACTTCCTTAGTGATACATAAAGTCATCCATAATTCGGTTGTCCCATTGAATCTAGATCTTGGGATCTCTAGTCATTTAGGTTGGGTTTCCATTATGATGATTTGTAAATAATAGTCTTTAATCTCATTCTTCTCGATATATGGTGCACTTGCTCTCTGGCTAACCCTTTAGTCAATGGATCCGCAATATTCTCTTTTGACTTTACATGTTCTATGAAAATTATTCTATGTGAGAGCAAATGCCGAACGGTATTATGTCTTCGACGAATGTGTCGAGATTTACCATTATACATACACTACAAGAAAATATACTTTTGGCGACCACTTTTGCCGACTAAAAATATTTTGGTTGCCAAAAGTTGTGGAATTGGCGCCCAAAAATTATGTTAGTCGGAAAAAGTACAATATTTAGCTACTAAACTTTTTTAGTTGGGTTACATTGATTATTAGCGACTAAAAAAAAATTAGTCGCCAAAAATGCCACAATTGGCGACTAAAACAAATTTAGTCTCTAAATTTGCCACAATTGGCGACTAAAAAAAATATTTTAGTCACTATATAGTTAGTTTTGGTTACTAAAATATTTAGTCGCTGAATAATAAACAAAAATTAACTTTTTATTTTTGGCGACCAAACATTTGGTTGTCAAATATTTTAGCTACTAAAATTATTTAGTCGTCGAATGAAAAATAAAAATTTACTTTTTATCTTTGGTGACCAAAAGTTTGGTCGCCAAATATTTATTTTTGTTGCCAAAGAACTAAAATATTTGAAAAGAGACATTTCAAATTTTGGAGGGACTTATAAAATATTTTCAGTAACTAAATAATATTTTAGTTGCCAATAACCATATATATATATATATATATATATTCTTCTTTTCCCTATTTTTTTGCCCTAAATTGAATTTTTTTCTCTGAAAGAGCTCTCTCTTCCCTAACTGTGGGTCATCGATCTCAATCTCTCAAGTCGTTTTGTATGTCCTTGCCACCATCGCTGACACCACCGGCGGTCTTTGCCGGTACATCTAACTGTAAGCCTCGTGGTGGTGATACCAGAACTCATCGGTAGCGGCTGGGCTAGGGCTAGGGCTCCACACCAATTGAGCCATTGGTTTGACTAATTTGATGGCGTCGTTCTATGGAAACAAGTCGACCACGCTTGATCTTCTTGGGTTGGGGATTGGAGCTGGTGGAGCCTTCATTGCTAGCTTCTCGGCTTTGTTCACTTCCATTGGAAGTGGGCTTGATGTTGCGGTGGCGGTCCGGGAAATTAAGTTAGAGGGAGCACTAATTACAATTTAAAAAAAAAATCATGATCAACATTAAGATAATAATAATTTTATGAGCTAAATTTAAGCATAAGAAATTAAAAATCATTATTAATAGGAACAAATCAAAATTCTATAATAGTGTGTAATAGCTCGGTGCAAGATGGTGATGTAAGTTTGTAATTTTAGCACAAAGAATTATGAATCAAAATTCCTAATTTTATAAAATAAAAAAAATCATTTATACCACATATTATTATAAAATCTATTTAATTTTTATTTGATAGA